CTTCTCCCTTCCCACCCTGAAACATCCATAGCTCTAAATGAGAAATGTCCCTGGTGTTACCAGATGGCACTTGGAAGGAGTGGAGTTGTAGTGTTAAGATAGAGCCCCAATTCTGCAAGGCAAGCAGATAGGGGAGGGGAGGGAGAGGGATCTGGCTGTACTATGGGTTGTACAGAGGGCAGACGATGGGTGAGAGTGGCAACCAGACTCCAGGAGGCAGAAAGCCAAGAAAAAAGGTATCTCTGCTTATCTGTCAGAACAGGGATGTCAGTGTGGGATGGAGACAAAGGGGAATTTCTAAAGTCCTTGCAGGACTAAAAATCCCATTAGGCAGAGTTAGTTACTTGAGATTAATAGGCAATGTCTTAATCTGGACATTTCAAATGAGCAGCATTAATCTTACTGCTGACAACTCAAGTCATAATTAAACTGGAAAACAGCCTTCAGTGACTTTCAAAGACAGAGAACTAGAGAGAAAATACATTTTTATAGTAACACCAAAATGGCTATTAAGCCACTGCCTTCTGCATTACCCATCACTTGCAGAAAGGAAGCTGGTCTGAGGAGCTGAGGTCCAGAAACAGCTGGGACCAGGGCCTGGCAATTCACTTATGCATTGGCTCTCCCACCCCCTTCCCAAGCTCTGCCTCACCACTCCTCCACCAAGAGAGGTTGTGTCCTGGTCCTCATAGGTCCCACAAAGGCAGGGATTCAGAGGGATACAGAGCCAGGAATCTGATGGGATCCAGGAAAGCTGCAGAGTTAGGGCCCTCAGAGACCACACCCCACAGAATGTGGAGATGGCACTGAGGGCTTCTGGCATCTCCCAAGCCAGGAGATGCTCACTCACAGCCAAGAGCGAGTAGCTGGCAATAATCCAGGGCCAGAATCTGAGGCCTTGTCATGAGAGCAGTGACTTAACTCATCATATAAAGGTGGGCTAAGGCTTCTAGTTTATAAGATTGCTGCATAGGCAACCCAAAAGGAAAAAAGTGTCAGCAATTATTTGTGTTGCCGTAACATGGATGCACAGGTAGATTATCTTCCAGGTTAGGATTTGTATCTTACACCATTACCGATTGTTGCCAACAGAGTTCTGACATGAGAAAGATGTATTCCATTCTGAGGACTTCTGGTCTATAAATAAGTCAAAACAACCAGAGAATTTAGGTCAAGGTGAGTTTATTGTCCAAATAGCACAACCTAATTGCATCCAAACCATTTTCAAATCCATCTTTAAGCTAGTCAGAATAACAGGTTATATTTCAAATCACTTAACACTGAACAGATAAGCCCTCTTAAAAGGCAGCTGACTATACCATGTCACCATCATAACCAATAAAACATTTTCCATACTTCCTAAAAACCTTTCATTTATACTGATCATGCTACTTTAGCACTTGCTAGCATCCCGACCAAATAAACACCCACACCTCTTATAGAGTACATTGTGAGAGAATTACATTGACTTGATATGGCATCACACTCGTTTAAAGCAAAAAAAAAAAAATTATAATAATAAAAGAAGTCCAAGACGAGAAACTGTAACTGAGAGAGATCTGAGGTACATGGTACAAGGGTAATGAACATAATGGAAAAAATCCAATGGCCCGGTGATTTGCTGGGGATTTAAGAGTTGGCCAGCAATAAGAATTAAACCCATTAAAAACAAAAAAACAAAAAAAAAACTTTTTTTTTTTTTTAGGACAGGAACCTGTCAAAATATATTGGATACTGTAATGGCTACAGTCAGTAAGGCACTTTTTTCCCCAAAGTAGGCTGCAGGCAAAGAATAAATGTTGCAGCATGCATGGATACATTTGCTGATGGCTTCTTGAAACCTGAGCCAAGAATCATGTCTGATAGCCCAGCCACGTCTAAAAGCAGAGACACACAAATGTAGGAAAATAATTTTGTCTGAAATGGCTGTTCTGGGTTTAGAACCTAGAATCATGAAAAGCCATGCGGTGTGAGGAAGTCATAAATATCCTCTTGAGTCTTCCTGCCCTATTTTGTACAAATGGACAGCATGAACAGCTCTTGAAAACTCCAAGCCCACACCGGTGGAAGCCTGCACTCATTCTATAGCTACAGAGTTTGTTGGCTTAAGGGGACTTTACTGTCTCAGCATTAATTTCCCTTTTAAAGCTATTCTCAGGGTTAGACTGTCTCGAAGATAAACAAAAAGGAATCCTTTTGGCTTAGAAACCAATTGGCTTACTCAGACTTCCTCCCCATTCCTACCGCCCATTCCCACACTACCAATATCTTCTTGAACTAGAAAATCATTATTTACATGACATAAGGTGCAAGTCTATTTCTTCTCCCAGCCCTGCCCCCAGTGGCCCATGGAGAGAAAATCCCCCTGCCCTCTTTGAGAAAAGTCATCCAGTCCTGCCTAATGTTCTTAACCTGTCTGTCTCAGAACTCCCAGAGCAGTGTGGAGAGACTCTAAGGCGTCTGGATCTCAGGAGAGCTACAGCTCCTCTCATTGAAGAGAAGCCGACCCTGTTAGCAAAGGGATGCTGTGTGACGCAGTCAGGTCTGTTTCCTCCTCCAGCCTTGTCACTTAAGCGCCTGCCAGTCTTTGAGCTATGAGTGCCCCTGACTTAGCTGAGAAGAGACAGAACAGAGCCTCTTGTATGAAGCAGAGACCAAAGAGGACCTGGCTCTAAGAAATGCTGAGCTATTCAGGGGGTCCTGGGGCAGGTCCAGAACAAAGCCTCCTGTAAAGAGCAGCCCCTTCTCTGAGGAGCTGTCCCCTCAGCACATGGGAGATAGTCTGCTGTGGTATCTGTCCCCTGCTTTTACCTCCAGGCTTCTTGGCTGTCATGAACCCGCATGGAATTGAATTATGCTTAGTATATATTTTTGGCATACTAGGATTCTCCCCCCTAGGACCTGGCCAAAATAGGGGAAAGAAATTTGTCAGGCTTGGGGAACAACTTAGCCCCCACTGATGGAGAAAAACAAAAACAAACACAGAAGTAAAGAAGAGATTTAAAAAAAAAAAAAAAAGGGTAGAAAAAGACAGGAATAGGTGTGGAACCCCTTTAGTAGGTGAGAGAGAAAAAAAATTCACAGGGAGAACTGACTCCTTTGGGACAGAATCCCCTACCAAGGAAACCAAGCTCTAAGGAGAAGGTATTAGTCACTTAAGCAATCCAGAGTTCCTTCTTTTATGGAGGAAACAGGCAGAAAAATCCAGACAACCTAGCACCTTCCCCATCAGCAACCCCACACCTCCCACCACACTAGGCCCCGAAGATAGGAAGAAGAAAAGGCTAGTGGCGATCGGAGCGTTAGGAAATGTGGAAAGTTAGACTGCAGGGAGAGTCTGTTGGCCTGTTCCCTTCCTTGATGGGTTCTCTCATTTGCTGCTGCTCTTTGAGCTTAAGGACTGGTCACTGTGGAATGAGTTTGTACTTCGTTTTGTCTGTAGACTCCGAGACGCCCCCAGAACTCCAGGGACAATGCTGTCTTCCATTCTATGGAACGCCTCAGGGCCCAGAAGAGTGTCCTGTGCGAAGTGAGCACTTGATAAAATACCGCCTGCTTACTTTTCCTCTCCAAAACTTCAGAATTCACCTACCACCCCACCAGAAACTCCCTAGAATTTAGGGTCATGTTAACTCGCCAAGTCCTGAACTTTCTCTAAACACCCTGCAAGAAACCGACTCATCTGGATTTGCATCTACGTAAAGAAGCAGCCTCGCCACCTCCCTTCAACTACCATCCAATAATCATCTGATCTATTTTACCAATCACGCCAATTCAATGCCTAAAAACCATTTAGTGTCGCTCAGCAGAGGACCTGGCCTTGCACAGCACTTGATGCCAGTCAGACAGGTGAGGGAAGGAACCTCCACAACACTGCAGGCTGCAGATTCAGACCAAAAAACCTCTGAGATTATCCTAGACTGGGGATGCCTATGTCAGGGAAGGGGAAAGAGAGTCCTTCGATGAGAGGACCCTAAGTGATGAAAGCCCTGCTTTAGAAAGGGCTGTAAGATGAGGGTCTCCAAGTAGCCTGTTGGAATTCTTTAGTCTGTCTCCTGATACCTAAGTGCAAATTATGACTTCTTTGTATACTGTGTAAATGTCTGTGCTGAATGTCTGCCTTGTGGGGGAGGGGAAATCCCTTGGTTCAATTGTATTTTTTCCATCATGATGAGGATACCGGAGTCAAAATGGAAGCCTGATGACCTTCGCGACTAACAAGGTCCTTAGGTGTGAAACCCTGGGCCAAAACCACCCCACCTTCCACCAGAAAGGGCACGCGGCCTCTTCCCCGCCGTCTCCTTTCCCCACATTCATGGGCTCCCGAGCATAGACTGTATGATTGTGAGGTATTATGAAAACAAAAATGTGAATTATTCTTTTGTAGCTATTGATTTTATCCAGTAAACCTGAGGTAAAGAATACTCTGTCTTTGAAGAATGTGATCAGAAGGAAAAAAACCCAAAAAGAAAAAAAAAATCAATCATGAATATGCTACCAGAAGAAAACAAACTATGGAAAGGCTTTTCCAGTATGAAGAACTCATATGTCAACCACCTACTTCGGGACTTGGTATTTAAGCAGTAAAATAATATATTATAAAAATGTTTATAAAATAGCAGCACACTCTGTGAAAAACATTACAGCTAGGTACTGTTAATGTGAATAAGGATGAATGATCTTAGCTTCTTAGCAGCGCAAAAAAAAAAAAAATAATAATAAAAAAACTGAACACAATAAAAGGAAAAATAAGAGACCCTTTGATTTTTCTCCATCTTAACCCTCAAACTATGAAACAAGGCAGAATATGTGTATAAAATTCTTCAAATAGCCCTGTTCTGATTTTTCTTTTTCACTTAAAAAGGCAAATATTTTAACAAATAGCTTCATTACCTGTCAATTATAATTGTGCAAAAAAAAAAAAAAAGTTGTTGCTCCAACCTCTTTGTTAACTGTGTGTGTCTAAGAAGTGGAGAGGAAAAAAATTCAAGTACACTGAATACAACTTTGCAATGAAATTAATAAAATATGGAAAAGGGAACAAAATGCCACACTGATGTTTGGCTGTCTGTCTTTGCACCAGCAATAATTTTTCTTTACATGTCCAAAGGAGAAGTATATAGGTGGGAATTAAGATCCTTCTATGCCATCAAAATGGTAACAGATATTTGTTTTTAGGCTTTTCTGAGGAATGTTGTGATGGGAATGTCAGCGGAAAAGGGTATCTCTTGAGTCCTCGCAGGGACACCAGAACTATGTACCAGACAATGTCAGATACCAGAAGTGAATAGTACCTGGACTGAGTGTATGTGGGGAAGGGGCACCAGAGAAAAAGGGAGGAGTCTATTCAGCATGATTTGCATAAACCATCCCATCTACCCCTCGGGAACAATTTTTCAAAGTGCTTTTCGAATGGAATGGTTTATAACAATGCTAAACTGTGGACCAGACATGCCAATCAGCACCAAAAATTAGTTGTTTCCTAATAAGGGATGCCAAGGTCACATTACTCTCTTTAATACAGTAAGAGAAAAGATTCCATTCCAGATCCCACCCTTGGTCTCCATCTGCCTCTGTTTCATGAGTTTGGTAATGGCCTGGAGCTAGATTGCCCCTTTAGATAAAAATGTGGTGGTGTCTACAATGAACCATGTTTGGAAGAAGAAGCAAGATATCAAAAAACATGGAACCCAGGATCCAATCGCCTGTGTCCAACTGGAAAATAAAACATCTTTTTTAGGTAGCAGCTACTGTAGACAGCAAGAGTTCGTAACAAGAGATCCAGCAACAGGTGGCTGACTTAATAATAGGTGGTTGAGAGCAAAGGTGCTTCTACATCCAAAATGGTTCAGTCATGTTGAGAGATTGCTTTGTACTCCCTCCCCATCATGTCCCTCCTTATTTCTAATTCCTTCTTGAGTTCATTGCTTTGCAATCTAATCATGCCATAAATAGCATACACAGTTCCTTGAAATTATCCTAAAGGGGGTGTATATATGCTAGTTAACATGAAAAAAAGGTCTCCTCTAATTTGTTCCCATATTGCAGGCGTACATTTTCTCTAGCTACTCTGCAGGTATTTCTGTAAGCATTTTACTATTACTTTTAACATAATCAAATAATAACTGTCCACATACACAAGGGATTCCCTCCTGTTGTACTTTGAATAGGCACCAAATGCTTTTAATCATTCCACTTTTATAGGACCTTTGTCTCTCACTTCTAAAAGACCTTTCAATATGATCTAAGTGGGGGCAGAATTTTTTTTTTAAGTTTTATCCTAAACATAAAGAACAAAACACAACCATAAAGAAGGAGAGAGCAGATTTGAACATGTCTCTCCCATTCGGCCCGACTGACATCCTCACAGGTCAATATCCCGCACATCTGTAGGGGTGCTGGCTTGGTCCAGTTCATCCTCCGACTTGGATCCATCCCCCTGGTCCTGACGGAACTGCTGCAGGCTATTGAGCAGCACCACCTCAATCTGCTCCTGGCAGGCTTTGAGGCAATCCTAGAAGGAGAATGGTCCAGACCAGAGAGCTGTTAGCAACATCAACAGGGCACAGAGCATTTTATGAAGAAAACATACACAGTTCAAGCCTCGCATAATTCCATGCTAGTTTTCCAGTAGGAATAAATGTAAAGGAAAGGAGATGCGTTCTTGAAGCGCCACAGAACCTCACTACTCCAAGTCCATGCTTCGGCGTCACTTGGGAACTTGTTAGAAATGCAGAATCTTGGGTGATTCATAAACACCGGAGCATCTGAGAAGCACTGACATAGATAATGAGCCACGGATGGACATGCAGTGCCTGGTAATCTAGGGGCCATGAGATGCTTTCTGCTTGGGGAAGTTGGGAGGTGACAGAGAAAAGGGGAAGGCCAGTACTAGACGGTGCTATAGGACTAGACAAACAGTACCTGAAGTATAATTAAGAAAGAAGAGAATGGACTTAACTAAACTGACCATCACATAAACTGTATAAATGCTTGCAAACAAAAACAATCTGTTTTTCTGCTTATTTATCATTCCCTTAACTCTCATAAAAAAACAACACAGAATGTTTACAAAATTCTGGACACTCAAGCCGTCTAATTTGGGTATAAGAAAGAATTTGCAGTATTGCTCTGATATTAGTCTATATTTGGTAGAGAAAATTCAGAATGTGTTTGCCCCAGGCAGAAGCTTCTGTCAGCTGGTTGACGTGGAATGCAGCGGCAAGTCATGGTGCCTGTCACTAGGGAGAGACTATGGTTCCCACTAGGAAATTGCTCTCTCCACTGCAAGGCTGATTTTCTGCACTCTGTTCAGCAGCATATATGTATGGAAAATAAGTGAAATGGAATCTGCCTGGCTCTTTCCACAGGTTAATATATGCTTCCCATTTGTTTCGCTGTGTAATTTTCCCTGCCTAGAGGTTACTGTATGCCAAGCACAAAAGCATTATCTTTACTTTCCAAAGAACTAAAATAGAATTGGAATTAACCCCTCAAGAACGCCAAAATTTTCCTTTCCTCTATCTCATCTACTCCACATTTCAAACTACAGCTTTTCATGAAAATTAAACTGGGAACAATGTGCTAAGGGGAGAGAGGAAATATTGCCCAGAATGTAAAAAGGTGGAAAAGAGCAAGGGTGAGTATTCGCTGTCCTCCCACCATACTTAGGGCAGCATCTAAGTTATTTAACTTCTCTGATCTCAGTTTCCGTGCCTGTAAAATAAAGATAATGAAATCCTCATAGAGTAAAGAATGAGATAATATGTATGAAGTGCTATAAGTGGCAGTTCAATAATTGATGATTATTACTTATGAATAACAATAAATCACTCCAGGAATCGGAAAGAATTCTCTAGACGTCTTCAAGACGAGGTATGCATAAGCATATGCTCAAGATTGGTGGAGGGGCATTGTGTGACTGGCACTGGGGATTGAATGCTGAACAAGACAGACATAATCCAGCTGCAGAGGTCCTTGTGCCACCCTGCACAAGCTGAGGAGTCAGGGACTGGCAACCAAGGACCCATGGACATCTCTCAACTTTCCCGTGGCTTCTCCTGGTCATACCATCTACCCTGTCTGACCCCTCACTAAGTAGTGATTAGGAAGCTGACGGGTCTCCCCCGCCTTCCTGCCTCCCTGCTTAGGTCTTCCCTGCAGCCCGCCTCCAAGGCCACACTGCAGCACTGGTGCTCCTAGGTCACTCACCACTTGCCAAAGGTTTAGGTGGTGAAGGCTAAAGGAATAATGTTTCCTTTAAGGACACCTGCATTTTAGTAGAAGATATTTAAAAACATTAAAGCCTTAGAATCTAAAAAAAAAAAAAAAAAATTACAAGTCAAAGCTAAGGTTAGGGTTAACATATAAGGCAAGTCCTGCATCAGAGCTGGACAGTAAGTCCAACTCTGTCAGTTTTCCCTCTAAAGCTGAGATAGCTTGTTCTCCACTTGAGCCCCATCTAAAGGAGCTACCTTGCTCTTAGGGGCCATGTAGTCAGCATAACATCCATTTTCAAATGCTAGAATCCTCCATGAGAAGTGAGAGGAGCAAAGACTCAGAACAGCAGCACTGCCCCCCCCACCCCCATTCTCCTCCATTCCTCACTGAGAAACGTGAGGCCACAGAACAGAAGTTAATATTGTCTTCCTCTTTCTCTCTTTTTTTCTTGCAGAGAATGAGTTGAATATAGGCAGTTACTGTGTGATGCCACCTCCCTGCGGAGGTACTTCAGGAGCTTGAAGGGTATGTTTAAGATTTTGTTTCTAGGAGGCAGGGGAAATGAATCAGAACCCTTCCAAACCACAGATAGTAACTGTGGCCTCCACAGAAGGCAAATCCTACCCAAAGCAAATGGCACGAAAGAGCTTTTGTAACGTGAAAAGGATGGCAGAATTCTCAGCTGACTGAGGGGCTATGTAAGCACGTACACACACATGTGTGATGTGTGTATAGACATAAGCATAAGCATTAGATTCAAGAAGAAATGCCTGTTAGGTGTCAGCAATGAGCTCTCTCTAAAGAGGGCTTGACATGGCACGGCCGCTCGGTGAGGACTTCCTGCTGTGATGTTCGTGTGGAAGACCTTGTCCCCTAACAAGAAAGCTAATGCCTCCCAACCAATCCTGTCCAGCTGTCCTTCCTCAGAGGCTGTCTTGCCCCCATGGAAAGATCATCCGGTCAGCACATCCCTTACCCCAATAATATGACCATCACCATGTCAGCCACACCAGCATCCCTGAGATAGACAGTGAGGAGACAGGGCTCCAGAAAGCTAACGAACTTGATTTGGGGCCATGTAGAGTCTTCCCTTTCAGGTCACCAATGTTCCTACTTTTCCTGGTATTAGCCTTCCCTTCTAGCAGCCTGAGATCTTAAAGAAACATTTCCGAGAATCCTACAGGGAAGGCTGGGACATTTGGCAGTCACTTCTACTGGATTTTCAGAGCCATGGGACTTCATCTTAACACATGCATCCAGTGTCATATTGATGTAAGTTCCAACCAAGAACACGTGAACAGGTTTTTCTGAATAAAATGAAGGAAGATTTCACACAAAACACATACTCTTCCCTTTTCTTCAGTCTCATTTCAGTCTCAATCTAAATCATGACCGACTCTGGCCCGTTCTCAATCTTTGATCCTTTTACTTGAAGAGAAAAATAATGACAAAAGCAGTTATCCCTAGAAATGAGGGACCCTGATCACTATTCCTTGCTCTCCTCTAGACTCACCTACAAGCAGGAAGCTAACCTCTCTGGAAAGCTCTCAGGGGTCTCTGCCTGACCCTCCTTCAGGGTCGCTTCTTCACAACGTGGCCATTATCAGCTCGAGTTGCAACTACGCAAATCTCTTGATCTTAGCTAGATGAAAAGCTGAAGGGCAAAAGCCTGTCTCGTATAAATGACGTCCAACGTTTTACTCGCTGGTGGAGAGAGACCGGCATTACTCCCTGCTTGACACAGAGTTCACTCCCTGTGCTTCCAAAGAAGGTGTGACTTTCCTGTGAGCTGGTGGAAATGAAGGAAGAGGAGAGTGAGTGGTGGTGCCATCGCCTTACTGCCATCGTGCTAACTCCACACAGTCCCCCACTTCCGGCCCAAGGAGCTCCCAATTCTCCCAGCAGCAGCACAAGAGAGTGCCTGGGACCGGGGTGTGGGGACGTGACCTGGAGTAAAGAGGAGCGAGGCCTGCCTCAGATCCAGCAAAGCTGCTTGTGTTAGCAGGTCAAGCTGGGAGAGGAAACGGAAAGGGAGGCCGGCTGAAGAGCCTGAAGGGGAAAGGAGGCCAAGCTGGAGAACCGTGAATAAAGTACGTCCAAAGGGAAGAATTATAAGACGACATCAGAGATTATTACAGAATCTGAGAATCTGGGGGTCCAAAGGGCTTCTGGAGCTCACATAGCCAAGTGCCCTCATTTTACAGCTAGAAACTGAAGCCTGGCTCGCCCCCCAGTTATATCTAGTGAAAAGCTAAGACTGGCCTTAAAAAAAGGCAAGCCTCCAATTTCAGAACTCTTTTCCCTACGCACCTCTTTTTTTCCTAGCTCCAAGTAAAGACGCATAGGTCCAAGAATCTCCAAGGAAAGGAGACATAGCCCAAGTGGCTGGAAAAAACTGAGTGCCTCCAGTGAAAAGCTGCTACGTGCATGTAAAGCGAAGCGGCTCTGGGACCTTTGCTTTCCGGCAGCCTCCGAAAGCACCAGCCATTCTGTTACGATGCCCCAAATTAAGCTGATTAAAAGGAGAGCCATAATGCTCGTCTGTCAGCCTGGACAGGTGGCACTCCACAGCGCTGGAGGTCGGGCAAGCCTCCAACTTCGATGATGATAGGCCCCCTCCCTCGCCCACGCCCCCAGCCTCGGAACCCTGACAGCAGTGTTTGTGATCTCCAGCTCGTTACACGGGCCTCCGACTTCCTCTGCTTGCTGGCTCGAGCTCCGCGCCCTGCACCCTCCTCTGCCTCCATGAATGGGCTGACGGAACTCCTACCATTAGCCCTCAGTGTAACTGCATCACTCCATTGTCACCACACACGCACTGCACTCAACAGGGAGACAAAGGGCTGAATGAGCCCCAGACCCGCAGCCAACTCAGGCAGAGACAACTTAGGAAACTATCTCATTCTTCCTTTCTTCACAGGCTGTTTGGCTTATTTCCTTGCATACCAAATGAGGCCCACAGAAAAAATAAGGCAAGAGAGGGAAGCATCAGCCTTCGATTCTATTCCTTCCACCTCCCCACCCCCAGCTCCCCTTCCAGCAACTCTTCACAAGGTTCTTGACCAGACCCCGTAAAGTCCACAAAGGACAGTCTCAGTAAGATTGGCCTTTAGGAGAAGGTGTGCTGTGAGGTGTCCGAGCTTCTAGCTAAGGAGGACCAAGACACAATGCCAGGGACCCTATGAATACTGTAGTCAAAATCGAGACTTCTCTCACTTCACTGCTGTTTCTTAACAGTTCACTAACAATCAGGATCTGAACGTGCGGGACCCTAAGGAAGGGATATGTCGAAATCTTCTCCGGGTGATAGTTTAGAATGTGACAGAGAGTTTTGATGTGACCTAGGTAGACGAGGATAAATATAATGACCAAATGACTATATTCTATGTCTGTTCTGTTAAGTATCTTCCAATAACCTCACAACATCTTTATGGCCTGTGAGTCTCAATGCTACTTTTTCATTAGCGAATTAGTAAAATGGTGTCATGTGAAAATAAAGTGACCTGCTCTAAGATAAAGTCAGGTGAAACTCTGAGGACCTTGACATACAATTAACGTTAAATATATAGCTTTTCGAAAAGACCTGGAGAAACCAAAGGATTAGAAACACACTTGAAACCCATCTGCCCACCCTTTGTCCTCCATCCCTTCCTTCCTCCTTCCCTCCCCCATCTTTAGCTAGCATCATTCCCCAATGACTCTGCCAGGGGCTCTGAAGAAAGAGCTGAGTAAAACTTGGGTCCTGTTCAAGAGGTTCTATAGACAAGTGAACAGTGAGATAAACGCTGGCACATGGCACGAGCAGAGTGCCCAGGGGACGGAAGAGGAACCCCAATTCTGCCTGGGGAAAGGTTCACTGGGGAACCAGGACAGCCGATTCCTCCTCTCAAACTTACCCTTGGCAACGGAAACCCGGTAGAGGTTCCTCCAAAAGCCAGAGCTGCCTCTCTAGCTGGCATCTGTTTTTAGCAACACTTATGAGTGGAAGGAAAAAGTACTTAAAATATACCACCCTCTGAGACTTTTATTCCCTGTAAAACTGTCAGGCTTCTCACTCAGCTTTCTCTTTGGAATGAAGCGTTCCGGTTTATTTTGGCAACCAGAGGGAGCAACAAAGACCAACTTTCTCAGAGCTGCATGGGTCCCTCCTATCAAAGCTATCTGCCGCTGGCCAGGGAGCCAGAAAAAGTCGTCCGGCTGTCTCAAACCAATCAAGGGGACCCTGTTTCAACGGTCTGATCCCTGACCATCCCTGCATAGCGAACACCAAGCTTAAAGAAACCGCAAATAACAAGGAGCGTGGGGCAGGCAGGGCTGCAGGACTCCTGATTTCCATTCAGAGTATTAGAGCCAGTGGGGCAAAACGCTGTCCTGTGTGCCCGACTTCCCCATGGAAAAGCTCAACGCAAACCTATGGGCATTTCACAGTGCGGCCTGAGACACTGTATGTATATGTGTATGTGTGCATACGTATGTTTCATTGTGACAAAATATGCATAACATAAAATTTACCTTCTTGATCTTTTTTTTATTTATTTTTTTTTTATTTTGTTAACGCCTACAGCACCTGGTCTTCCTAGGTGGTCTCCCATCTGAGTACTAACCAGGCTCGACACTGCTTAGCTTCCGAGATCAGACGAGATCGGGCACATTCAGGGTGGCATGGCTGTAGACTACTTCTTGATTGTTTTTAAGTATACAATGGCACCGAGTACATTTAATTTGTCATGCCACCATTGCCACTCTTCTACCTCTGGAATTTTTTCAACAGCCCAAACTGAAAGGCCATACTCATTAAACAATAACTCCCCATGCCCCCCACCCCCTAGGCCCTGCTAACCTCCATTCCACTTTCTGTTTCTATGCATTTGACCTTTCCAGGTACCACGTGTAAGTGGAATTATATATTCGTCTTTTTGTATCTGGTGTATTTCACTTAGCATGTTTTCAAGGTTCGTCCATGTTATAGCATGTATCAGAACTCCACTTCTTAAGGTTGAATAATATTCCACTGCATGTACCTACCTCATTTAGTTTCACCATTCCAAGGACATTTTCTAGCATCAACTTTACTCTGCTGGGAGGCCTGGCATTTTACATTAGGCCTGGTAAGCACCTTCCTGAATGGATTTCCTGCTGCATTTATAGTTCCTAACACATTACTTAGCATTCATTCGCTTATGATCTTCAGTTACTAGGGTTTTACATAGTTTATTCTTGATTCTTCATACAGTTGCTAAATTCCTTAAAAGGCGGGAAACCCCTATTTTATTTTCCATGCACTACCCACCCACCCCAACTCCTACCACGGAGCCTTGAGTCCATGCCTTGCTCATCTCTTATACCTGTTCACAATGCAATAGTCTGCAATAAGTGGGCCTTCGACAAATACTTCTAGAAATGAATGGAGAGTAACTGCTTAAAGTTCACCATTTCTCGACTCACGAAATGGTAAGCAGAGCTCAAGAAGTAAAACTCACTTCCGTCCAAAAGCTAATGCATTCTAAATTCTAGTCCTTTACATTTTCCTTTACTCTTTGAGCTTCAGCTCTTCAGAGAACACAGGTTGATGATGGATGGGAAGGGATTTAGCAACTGGAAGTCAGGCACACACACATAGCCAGGCCCAGTGCTGCTCAAGGCTTTCCACTAAGAACATTCCTAGTGAGAGAGTGAGCAAGCCTCTGGGGCCCAAAGGTAGGCCTGGAACTTACTGAGATCTCAAACGGCTATCTGAAAAAGTGGTATGAATTTTATATTCTACTGTGTTCATGCTTGGTTTTTAATACTAAAATGATTAACCCTGGTCCACCAGTGAGAAAGAGGCATATCTATGCAGCTCCAGTTTAATGGCTGAGATTTAGAGGAGAACTCTGAGCTGGTTCTGTATCCGTTTAACAAAGTGACTTGAATGGGCCAGCTACGTAGTATCTGAAAAGAGCAAGCAGTCTCTCCAGTGTGATATGAGAGGCCCGTTTGCAGTCTTGGAAAGCAAGGCACAGCCAAGAGCCTTGGTGGTACCCCAGGAGTGACCTCTGTTCATTTGAAATCAATAAGGGGTGACAAACAGATATGGAAGAAGGCTGGAGACTGAACCAGTGGGGCAATCAGCCAGTCAGAGTGGGTCTATAAATGTCTGAAAGAGGTTACAATGCCTATGGCTCAAACTCTCCTCACTGACATTTTTGTCTCTGAGGTAGAGGAAGGGCTTTGTCTTAAGCTGGTTGGGAGTCCCTGTTGCAAGGCAGTCTTTAACAGGATATATTCAGAAAAGGAAGGAAATATACCTTTTCTATAAATGTTAGGTTCTGTCCAAGATCTACCTCTAGAAGATTCAAAAAGCATTCTTCACCTGAAGCTGCACTGGAGGGGTCTTTTCAATCTGTATCTTTGGAAACCATGTTTTAAAAGCCTATGCTTTGGAGCCAGCACATTAACATAACAGCAGATGTAAACCTGTTTCAGAGGAGGACCCAGATTTGTTCCATCATACCCTTCAACACTTCCTTGCACCATTTCCTGCAGATAGTCATAAATGCTAAGGCAAGGTGGGGTGGGTGAGAAAGGCAGTAAGCTGCAGCCTTAGGCTCTCTGAGGTTCAACCTTCTGCTCAGCGTCAGGGGTGGAGGCATTAGCCACTGGCTTGTCAACCACATTATCCCTTAATTCAGTATATTCCCACGGCAGAGCATTCAGAATCCCCCTGGAACACCCAGAGGGGCCATCATGAAGTTCCCCTGCATTTCTGAGCCTCTCCATGGTGACTCACGAAGGCCTCGGCACTGACACCCCTTTCTCAAGTTGCCTTTAAACCAAAAGGCTTTTTCAAACAAAAAGATCCCACAGCTGCAGCAAGGGTGGAGTGCAAAGTTCCCAGACCGGGCATCAGAGCTTCCAGGTTCTAGTCCCAGCTCTGCTCTGCCTCTGCTGCTGCCGCTGCCCGCTCCCCAAAGCTGGCTACCTCAGCCCTCTGCACCTCCCTGACCTCTCAGAACCACCTTGGCTCAGACCTTTTAAGGACTGCAATTTCCTACCAACTGAATAAGAGCCTCACTTGACCCTGGTCTGACTCAAATCCTTTCTTCTAAGGAGCTTCAAATTCTGGCAACCAGAATTACAGCCTCTGGGCCTTCCACAGGGCACTCGGCATGGAAAAATCTACAGCTAATAAGAGTTCCTTGAATTTGTATGGCACTTTATTCTTTTCAAAGTGCTTATTAATTCATTACCACACTGAACAAAAGGGAAGTGAGGGACAGGCAGGTTTGAGCAGTTTGTCAAGGCTGGACCTATTCTCGTGGTAGGGCACCTCCTGTGTCTCCACTCCCTTCCAGGCAGATTCTTGCTCCTCTCTGTGCCTTCCAGCTTTAGTGTGAGAAGATATGAAGGCTCGAGGCTCTGGAGGAGAGGCAGCCTAACGTGTACAGAAATGGAAATGAAAGGATAATATAGACCCAACGAGAAGCCCACATTGTAAAGGAAAATCATCAACCAGTCTTCCCCTTCCCCCTTGTATCCGCTTGCTAAGTTTTCTCTATTTTATGGCACACAGGCTTTTGAAATCTTAGGAGGAGGCCTCACCTGCTGGATTTTGTACCACCTTGATGTTGATCTTAGAAAACAGAAACCGACAACAAAAATACCTCTGACACATCATCATCAAACCAACAGGTCTCTCCCTGAGCTGAGAAAAGAGATGTCTGATGTTTAACCAAGAGGCTAGCCGCCACCTACCACATCTGTATTAGTGATCTTGGCCAGCAGTTCCACCAGGGCATCACTAGTGAGAGAGCTCACGTCCTCATCCTGCTGGAGCCCACAGATGGCAGCTCCCACACTTCCAGTTGCAATCATCGATGGTGGGTACATGGCGAACTTAAAGTCTGTGAAAACAAGAGGAAGAAGGTCAGGGCACAGGAAGGACTGGGATCCAGTCTAAAGATACCCAGAAAGAAGATGGCGATGGGTCAGCTGCACAAGTGGCCCTGACTCTACAGGCACAACCAGCTGAGTCTTTTCTTCATAGGACATCCTTTCTTTAAAATGAAGAGACTGAGGCAGAGAAGGTATAGTGCACACCGTGAATTCACAGAGAACTCAGGTCCTCAAACCCTCAGTCTCACAATCCTGTGAGGGGTTTTTGGCTCTGCTGGGGCAGAATGGCGAATGAGACACAGTCCCCTCTGGGGGTGATGGCAAAAGCAAAGTAGGTCTGAGACCAGTACAGATAACCCTTGTGCCATCCAAGTGAGAAAAACCAAGAGCTCTAGAGGTTGGAAGGAGGGACAAGTACAAGCTGGTAAAATGTTATGAAAATGATAACCCTGATGTGAGCTTGCCATATTTCCTGGACAGGGAGTTAGGACTACTATGGCCCCAAACAACACAAGACAATTTTATTTTAATAAAGGTAGTGAAGTGAGACAGGCAGCCATGGAAGGGATGGAGTGATGAGGGCCAAGTTTCACACAATCCCTAACTTCTAGCCCCATGCCGAGGACCATCTGGGCATTAGGAGAACACACAGGAATCTAACCAAGAGCCCAAGGTCAGCCACTGCACCCTAATCAGATGGATGAGCTGGTTTAGATTTTATGGCTCTTGGGCCTGAAAAAAAAAAGAACCATTTTCTGGCTGGAAAGAAAAAGTGGTTCGCTAGGGAAAAAAAAAAAAAAGCATAAAATGAGGGTAAATGTGAGGGGCCCAAACCCTCTCCACTTGCCCTTCTCCAAATGCAAATATAGAGGATGCTCCTGTGCACTAGAGGGCTCTGCTGGGAGCTCGGACACCTTGGTTTCCTCTGAGCACTCCCCCAAAGTGGCTGGGCGGCCAAGATCAGCCATTGCTCTGTCCATCGGGGGGACATAAGGACACCCACACCTCACTCCTGCTAACAGCTACCACCTACCGATATGTACAGTACCTTCGTTATATCCAGTTTAATCCATACATCAGCCATAAAAGGTACACACAGTTATTACCCTAACGTGTGAAGAAGAAACCTGAGACTTCTGAGCCTTCCCTACCTTGTGTTGCTATGTTACAGAGGTTACAGTTTCATCACCCACCCTAACAGTCCTGGGGCATGCTACCTCTGGTGTTAGCATTACTCTAGCAAATCTGCCATATGTAGAAGTGGAAGGAGAGGTACAAGGGGGAGACATGGGATGCACTCCAACTTATAGCATAAACATTAGGCTGAACCTACAAAAACGGTTCAACCTAGTATTTCCTCTTCTTCCTATACAATGCCTTATTAGAACATAGTCCACGGAAACACTTTTATCACTGATATCACTGTCCAGCATCAAGTCAGTGGTGTTGGAAACACCACCGGATCACTGACCCATGGACATACCTCACTCCCATCTCGGCTGAATCCCATGAACAGAGCAGGCCTGGCCGTCTGATGGTCTGTTTGTCTCCTTGGTTCTTTCCATTTCTACCACTTGAGGGACATGGATTATGTTCTGCCCAAAGCCTGCTGTCCACTAACTCTTCCAGTGCCTTCTCCATCCCCACGGACAGTGACAAAGCTAGCCTCCTTGCCTCCTGCTCTGCTGTAGGTCTCTTCCACAGGGGGTCACAGGAGTGTTTCCCTGCCCAATAACCTCATTAGCTTCCCTCTGTGACATTCATAATGCAGAGGAGGCAGCCAGCCCCTGGCCCTGGGCCCGCCAGGCCTGGGTGGGAGCATCTGGCAGGGAAGGGCAGGAGGGTACCGCTGGCCTCCCTTCCCTCTGCCCAGGCCTCAGACCAGGAAGCACACCACACACATGCCTATCTTCGTCGTCCCACTGCATGTAAAACCAACTCCTATTTTTAGGAAATTAATTAACTTCTGGAAGCTAGTGGGTACATATGGGTGGTCCTGGAGTACAGAGGTAGGCACTAGAGTTGCCCAGAGGACTATACATCCCTTCTTGTTTTGACTGGAAAACCCTGAGGGGAGTTTTCCTAGGACACTGTTTCCTGTTCCCCAGAACTGGGGAGCACCGTGTGCATAAACATGGCTGCCTCTTGGCACCTCAGGGTAGCACAGACTGGGTAGAGTGCTCCCGTGGTGAGGACCAACCATTGCACCGCTCCTCTGCCACTCTGTATGGCAGCAGACTAGTGGCCTCCTCTGGAGCCCTGAGCAACTGCCCAGCTCTGCTTAGTCAGACAGGAGGCAACCTCAGCACCAAAAAGCCAGGTCCAGACTGTGGGACTGGACAAGTTACCTCCTCCCTCTGAGCGCCCGCAATCCTATTTGTCTAATAAGGGGTAGGGTTAGAGCAGCCTTTTTCTAACTTCCGGTTGCAACTCATTGATGGGTCATGAAATTCCTCTGTGGGTCACGACCAACATTTTTTGTTGTTGTTTAATGGAACAGAACAGGATAGAAAGTATCAGGAAGTACTGCATGTAGTAAGAGTAAATATCATTTTGAGAAACTTTTGTATCAGTCTGGTGTACCTATGTGTGTGTATCCTGAGTTGTGATATAAAATGTATTTCTTTCTTCATGGTTTAGGTCAAAAAGTTTAAAGATATTAGGCTGGCTAATCTCCCCGGTGCCGTCCAGCTCTAATTTGCTTTTAGTCAAGGATCTGGAATAAGATTGACTCCCAAGGAAAAAAAAAAACAAAACAAGGAAGAGACAACAGAATATAGCACGGCTCCCATCGGCCAGCAGAGTCACAGTTCATCTCTGCTCAGAGAGCACTGCTCCTTTCGCATGGTATCAGGGGCTACCCAGAACAACCGCAGAGACACCCCCTTCTCTGCTGGTCGAGGAAACAGAGCAGAAAAAAACACTAGAATGAAACATCTGAAGGGCGGTGTCCTTGCACTAGATCTAGTTAGCCAACCCCCACACTTACCCATGGAAAGTTCCACCCAACCTATGCCGCCATTCCTGGAAACCTTAAAACTTTGGCTATGTAACTGGATTGAGAAAAGCTGACCACATCCACTGGGATGAGGGAGAGCAGAAAACCATGCATGGGTACTCTAATCAATATCACAACTTTTCACAAACATGTAAATACGTGTACACACATGCATAGGGACGAACTAGGAAGATACACAGAAAATGCACATAAATTTTCTACTGTTAGATGGGGGAAATAAAATTTTGTAAATTCTCTTTTAAAACTACTTTTACTTTAGTAAATAAAAAACGAGTGAAAATCTCTCAGAAATGTGAGTCTCTTGGTCAAAAATGCCAAGAAGCTGTATCTTAGTACAGAAGGCATACTCAGGGTGAGGTTCTGTCCTCACCCGTGCCTGCCCACATGGAAAGGTAAGATGTTTTAACTTCCTAAGATCCCGTCCTTCTCCTGAAGCAGAGTGAGAAGCAATTAACTGGCCAGTGATCCATTCTGATCAAGTTACTATGACATGTTCCTCCCTGTTCTAGACAATGTGGATGGCTCCCCCAAGATGTAAAACACAGTAATGCAGCATAGCATGGTACACTCTGAATAGCTAGGCACAAACTACATGGGTAACTTCTAAAGAAACTTCTCAAAGAAAGTTAGTGCTCGAGTGGATCGGAGCGGTGGAGCTACTTAGGAGGACTCCTCAAGGAGATGGGTAGGATTTGAATAGTAAGGCCAAGAACCTCCAAGAACTGGAAGATGGAGTACTTGGAGCTGAGTCCTCCCACCTACAGCTAGCTGTGTGAAGATGCGCACGTTCCTGACCTCTCTCTGCCTGTTTTCTCTCCTGCAAATAAGGATGATAATCATACCTACCTCATGGGGTTGTTCTGAGGATTAAATAAAACAATCCAAGTGAAAGCAGTGCCTGGCTCAGGGTAAGCAATCTGTCAGTTGCCACCCACCAGCACCGCTACCACTGGAAACTCCTGTGGAATTGAGATGGGCGACTCTGACTGTTGGAGAGTCCGCTCAGCAGGGGCAAGGAGAAAGGTGCCCAGTGTCCCCGGGTGGCAGGCAGATGCCGAGAGCAGGCTGAGAGTGCTGAGGCCGGAGAGCACGAGTGCTCTGCGCCGCCTGGAGAATATTTCACTATTGGTTGTGGCTGTGTCTCAGAAATGACCTCATCAAGTCCCTTAAGCCTCCTTCTGGTTTGTCAAGAGTGGCAGAAACTGAGGTCCCACAGAGGAACAGAAAGAGGTCACAAGCATACATTGAATGAAAGACAGATGGTGGCAACTCTCTTCCCAGTGCTGCCCACATTCAGGTGTGGTTTACCCAAAGCTAAGGAATAACGCCCATTCACTAGAAGCCTCTGGCATAACCTCCTGCTCCTGGTTAGGTGGTGGGGGCAAGGGGCACACTCGAGGGGAATCTGGCTCTACGGACGAGCAGAGGCAGCTCTGGGGCTGTCTGCCTGCTCGTCCATGTAGTAGTGATGGTGAAGTATTAATAAAAAACAATCTAAAATTTACCTATTTCAAAACACTGTCTTTTATAGATGAATCAATGAAATCTTGAAAGGTTAAGTGACTCTTCTAATGTTTAATGCTAAGCCTGGGGTTAAGATTAAAGCTTTGGGACTCTGGAGCCAGGGCTCTTTATAACTTACCAGGAGGTGAATACTCTTCAGGGTCATTTCCCACACCCCACTGAGGGATACAGGGCCCTCTTTCCTATCGGAAGCGGAAGAAAAGCCCCAAAACAGCCCTGGCTCAGGGATCAAAGAGATGGGTGCTAGTTCCAGCCACCTTTCCAGCAAGCTGTGTGACCTGCACAAGCTGCCTCACTTCTCAGGGACACCATGGGACTTCCTTCGGCCCCACTGGGCTCCTTCGTCTGGGCAATGGCAGTGAGAAATGCTCCATATTCGTCAGCTTGGAATTTGCACTTCTTGGTAAGACTTCACTGAAGAAAGAGATCTGAGCTACACTGGTCTAAAACCAGACTCCATGGCCCTGCGGGTTAAGTTTAGCAGACGGTTTGGGCTCTGGTGGCCCAAGGCCTTTAAGTACAAGAGCGCCTGCGTTGCTTCTATTCACCACTAGGGGAAGACAGACACTTGTCCTGAGGCTGGAGAAGCAGAATGTCCCAACGGGGTACTTTCCAGTTTCTCCCCCTCCTCTAACCTGCAGTCAGGTGGAAGTTTAAAAGGCCAGAACTCAGGGTGCTCACTGGCCAACGAAGGAGTCCGAGGCCGCGGCACACTCCTGCCACCCCCAGAATAAGTTCAGCACACGCTGTCCTTGTGGCTCAGGACTGCCATGACAAACTAATGTCATTTTAACTCCAAAGGCCTGGGAGGAAGGTGGTGGGAGGTGGCTAGAGAAAGTCAAGCAGCCTACTCCTCATTCATCTTACAGCCAGATGGGAAGTGAGACAGCCCGTCACACTGCCTGTCTCCACAGGCACACTTAACAGAAGAACTGAGACTCCGGGTTCTTCCCGGTTCAACACACCACTTCCCCTCAGCCGCATGACCTCTGAGCTGTGGAGGGAGCTAGAGACTCACAGACAGAAAGGTGGTTTCAGTTCTTCCTTCCTGGAAACCTCCCTTTCCGGATCAGGGGCCAAGCCATCTACCCTCTCTGAGCCTCCACTGTTTTGCTGTAATTATTATACCTGGTGATGGAAAGTCATGAGACACCTTTCCGTAAAGCCAGGAGGGCTGGGAGAGCACACGGTTATCATCACCTCTGGAGCTCAGGCCTAGGAGATGGGAACCTGGGGCCGGGGGCGGAGCTCTCCTGTGTGTGGTGCAAACAGCTAAGGGAAGCATCTTGAGGTGGAGCTCCTAGGCAAAAGAGCTTGGAGATGTGGGGTGCCATGGGTAAGGAGGTTAAGCACCTGCTCCCTCACCCCCACCCAAAGTTCAAACTCAATGCCATTGGCTCTTCTAGACTAACTGGAATCATCCGTTGAGCATGGTATGCATCGAACGCCAAGGTGAGACACTGAGTAATCTCAGATGGTCTACTTGTCTCGTTTGCAGACCTGAGGCTGGGGGCTCCGCCATGAGAGCTACGTCCACGGGCATGGTGAGGCTCAACTCTGCTGCCCCAGGATCAAAGCCCCAGAAAGGGAATGCTGGTGGTTATGAAGACCTCGCCCACACCCCCAACTGACCAGGACAGCTCAGAAAGGAATTGCAGGCAGTTTTAGGCATTCTCTCTTACAGACGCCAAGTCGGGCTGAG